TCTCTCTCTGTGCCCCTTCCCAACTCTCTCTAAATAAATAAATAGATTAATTAATTAATTAATTAAAAAATATGATGTAGCCTTAACAAAGAATAAAATTCCACTACACATTATACTATAGGTGAACCTTGAAAATATTATGCTAAGTCAAATAAGCCAGACACAAAAAGACAAATACTGTATGTATTATTCCACTTATATAAGGGACTAGAAGAGTCAAATTTATACAGACCTAAAGTAGAATAGTGGTTGCCAGGGTCAATGGGGGATAGGAGAATGGGAAGTTATTATTTAATGAGTACAAAGTTTCAGTTTGAAATGATGAAAAATTGTTGGAAATAGTGGTGATGATTCCACAACAGTATGAATGTACTTAATGCTACTGAATTGCACACTCAAAAATGATTAAAATTTAGATATTGAATTTTGTGTATTTTTCCACAATAAAAAAACATAGACCATTTTAAAGTGAACAATTCAGTGGTATTTAGAACTTTCACAATGTTATGGAACCACCTCTATTTAGTTCTAAGACATTTCTATCAGACCAAAGTAAAAACTACTTATTCACTAAGTACTTTGCCTTCCTTTATCTACCCAGTACCTGGCAATCACTGATTTGTGTTATATCCTGTGTTGGTCTTCTGAGACTGCCAGAACAAAATACCACAGATTTGGTGACTTAACAGAAATTAATTTCTCACAGTTCTCAAGGTTAGAATTCCAAAATCAAGTTGTGAGTGGGTGTGGTTTCTCTTGAGTCCTCTTCCCTTGGTTTGCAGATGGCTTTCTTCTTGTTGTATCCTCATATGGCCCTTTTCTTGTGAGCAAACACTCGTGGTGTCTCTTCCTTTTCTTATGAGGACACTTATTTTATTGGGGTCCCACCCTTAAGACTTTATTTAACCTTATTTACCTCCTTAAAGATGATATCTCTACTTACATTGGGGGTTAAAGTTTCAACTTATGAATTTTGGGGAGACACAATTCAGTACATAACATTCCACCCTCTGGCACCCCAATACTCATGTCCTTCTCATATGCAAAATGTAAAATTTATCCTGTCCCAACAAGCCCCAAAGTCTTAACTTATTCCAGCATCAACTCCAAGTCCAAAGTCTCATCTGAATATCTGAATTAAGTCTAGGTGAGACCAGATGTATGATTCATCCTGAGGCAAAACTCCTATTTAGCTATGAATCTGTGAAACTATTTATGTGCTTCCAAATACAATGGTGGAATAGGCATATAATAGAAATTCTCCTTTCAAAAGGGAGAATTCCATTATCATGAAACTTTTCCCTATGTTTTATTTTAAGAGTTATGGTTTTAGCTCCTAGGTTTAGGTTTTTGATCCATTTTGAGACTTTTTTTTTGTATATGGTGTAAGTTAAGGGTCAAACTTCAATATTTTGCATATGCAGTTTTCCTAGCACTACTTTTTGAAAAGTATGTCCTTTTCCCATTGAATGACCTTGGCACCCTTGTTGGAAATCATTTGACCATGCATGTGTGGGTTTATTTCTGAGATGTCTATTTTATTGCATTGGCCTATATGTCTGACATTATGTCCATACAACACTATTTTGATTATTGTAGCTTTGATAAGAGTTGCACTGCAATGAATGGATTCTTCTATAGGGCTTCCAGTGGGAGCATCACCCTGCCCACACATTAATTTCTGACTTCAGTCTCCAGACCTGCGAGAGAATAAATTTATATTGTGGTAGTTTTTATTAAAGCAGTCATAGGAAACCAATACTAATAGTGAATGACAGACTTTGTGGAAAATTAATATTTATGCCTGTTTTCACTTTCCCATCCTTTCCCTGAGACAAGCAGATGAACACCCCCTAGATATGGGATAAATTCAAAGTGGCTAGGATGGATTCTCACAAGCAAGGTTTGAAATTGGTAAGAGGAATGAAATTTTTGTTCATTTTATTGCTTATATGTTACCTGCATTGGAATGAGAGAAAAGCATTACATAGTCTTCAGTTGAGGAAATGTAGCTTTTTAAGACATGTGAACCCTCCCTTTAAACTTTTATTTACAGTCTTGATTTATTTTGCAGAAAATTTAATATTTTTTACATAGTAAATATGAATCTTTCCCTTTATGGTTTCATCTTTTATTTCTCTAAAGCTCAGACAGACTTTCTCCTCTATACTCTTGTCCCTGAATTCAGATTAACATATATTTATATTCTCTTTTACTTTATTGATTTGTCCTTAATATACTTGAGATAAAGGGGCACCTGGATGGCTCAGTCAGTTAAGCATTCGACTCTTTGATTTTGGCTCAGGTCATGATTTCACAGTTGGTGAGTTCAAGCCCTGAGTCAAGCCTAGCATCAGTCTCTGCGCTGATAGCGCTTGGTATTCTCTCAAAATAAATAAACTTTAAAATGTGTGTGTGTGTATGTGTGTGTGTGTGTGTGTGTGATAAAAATGTGCACACAGGTAACTCTAAAATTTTAGTGTGCTTCAGAGTCACCCGGGAGTTTAACGTTGCAGTTACATAAGCACCATTACCAAAGAGTGGTCTTGGGTGAAGGGTCAGGATACTGTATTTTAAACAAGCTCCCCATGTAATACTGAAACATTTGCTAGACTAGAAAACCTTGGGGAATACTAATATATACTATTTAAAAGGATCTCATGTGTTGATTTGGGGATACAATTCCTCCTCTTTGATATGTATTTCACAAGATATATATTCTAGATAAATAAAATGAGTTGCTTAAGGTCACACAGTCAATCAGGGGTAGTGCAGAGAAAATTAATCAGAGATACTTTAGTCACAAATTATACTCAGTTGTTCTAAACTCTACATGTACATCAGAATCACTGTGAGAGATTTTTAATTTTTTTAAGTTTATTTATTTTGAGAGAGAGAGCGCACAAGTGCAAGCAAGGGAGGGGCAATGAGAAGTTACTTGCCCATAAATAATCCCAAGCAGGCTCCTCATCTATCAGTGCAGAGCCCAATGCGGGGCTCAAACCCACGAACCGTGAGATTATGACCTAAGCCAAAATCAAGATTTGGATGCTTAACCACTGAGCCACCCAGGTGCCCCTCACTGTGAGAGTTGTTTCAATGTAATGATCCCTTGGTCTCATTTCCAATGAGTCTGATTCAATTGGTTGGGAGTGGGTCCTGAGTTCCACTCTAAAATCTCAGGTAATTCAAACCTGCAAAGGTTGAGAACCTATGCATTAATGATAACAACATAAAAATAAGACAGTTATCTCTTTAAAAAGGGCACGGTCTAATAGGAAAATAAAATCTGATGTATATAGTTTAAGGCACTTAAAAAGTGCTTTCATATATACATAATGAGGAGAGGAGTGCCCAAACTTGAACTAAAGCTGGGGCATCTCCACTTTAATTTATGTAAGTCCAGAGATGTCTGATAAACTTGGAGTAAAACCTAGTTTCCAGAATTTTTTTTTGTCAGTTCCTCAGGTGATTATGATGCAGTTGGTCTGTATAGCACATGTTGATAAACATTGGCAAATGTAACATTATGGTAAGTCCCTGTGTTGATATTGTTGCTTAATGCTTTCTCTGTTGTGTTCCTTTTTCAATTGCAAGCTACAGCCTGTAGAGAAATAAAGTTACTTGCCCATAATCAGAGGCAAACCTGAGCCCACATTGCAGGACTCTCAATTCAGCTATAATTAACTGTTGTACCCTTCAACTTACCATTCCCTATGGTAGGCACTGAGGGTACAAGTACCAATAGGACAATATATTTACTGTGAGAAGGGTACAGTCTACTTGGGGACCAGTAGTGATGGAAAATTCTCTAAACAAATCGTTGATTTACCAGGTATTTAGTTTCAGCCAGTTTCCCATTGTTATGTGATTATAGGTTTATCGGGCACAGCAAAAATCAAAGCAAGGGAAGAGGGAAATTCCTCTGGATCCATGTAGGTTAGTGTGAGTACAGACTACTCGGTATTCTGGGGTTAGGTTGGCATAAAACCACCTTCACACCTGTGTATGTGCAGAGTGAGACCTATAGCAGTGTCTGCACAGAAAATGGAGAGTCAAGGAAATGGGCCATATGCATCAGAGGATGGAAATGATAGTCCAATTTTAGGCACACTAAATAGGCACTAAATTAGGCACAATAAATCTAGTGTCACTCAGATTTATCTAGGGGAAAGGGATAATGAGGAAAGTCTGAGAAAAACCATAAAGGGCTATTTGGATCCCTAAGCAGAACTAGGGAAGTATCCACCTGGATTAAGTATAACTACAAAGCAGAAAGTGACATTCTCCATATTTCTGAAAGGGCAAAATGGAAATTCAGACCATTGAAGGTTCAAGAGAAATCAGTGGGTCTTTGTCATCTTTAGGATTCTAGCACATCAGCAGTGGTAGGGACCAGTGGAGGGAGCAAAACCTAGCAGAAGGGGAAGGAATACTTAGCAGTCATGGCATTATCCAGGGAAAAGGGGCACAGAAGCATATAGAAAGGTTACCCACTTGGCATTAAATTATACTCCAGGGTAGGCATACTTCTCGGGCTCTTCTCTAAATATGAAGGGCACTTAAAGTGTCAGAACCTTGCATGTATGGGTAGAGCCAGCCACAGAGGTTCTTTATTACCTCATGTTCTTTATTACCTCATTTGATTCCCACACTAGTCCTGGAAGGCATATATTATTTTCATTTTATAGATTAATAGTTTGACTGTAAAGAAATGTAGCTGTAATGATTACTAGGTTTGTGCTTCTAAATAAGAGATAAGAGGTAAGACAAGATTTATGTCTTTAAATGTTTCTCAAATATTTGTTGATTGTCTCCATTCCCTTTATAATCCAATTGGCAAGTTCTTTGCCTCTTACTTTTTTCTAACATATATAATACATATGTATTCATTTTGAAAAATAAGAAAAAACAAGGAATCAAGAAAAAATTAAAGAAAATAAGAAAACTATATATGTATATAATATGCACACTTTTAAATGAGATAGTATATCTATAGGTTGCTTTTTAACTGCTTTATTACCTTCACAGTATGTAATAAACATCTTTTCATGCAAGTTGATGAAACTCCCCTGCTGACAGAAAAACTTGCAGACTAAGTCAAAATGAAATATCTAATCAGAAAAATGACAGAACACCACAGGTTCACAGTAAAGGGTACATCAAGAAAATACAACTTTGGGAAGCAGGGGGGTTATTATTATTAACCTTAGCATTCAAGGCATAAGGCAAAACTCATCATGATGGTCATGGTGAGGGGGATCTCCTATAAGTATGCGCAAACTGTACCTCAGCTGAAGTTCCCTAATTTTCCTCCTTAATTCTCTCATCTCCTCCATGAACCGTTCCATATCATCTGCATCTCCGTCTATCATTTGAAGGTTATAGACAAGCCTATTGGGCATGTCCTCTCTACCATCGTGGGCAGGTGGGGCCCAACCCGCTCTAATATTTCCTCTAGGCTCCTGGCCTTCTCCACCTCCCAAAGGGTGGGCTTCTTCTTCATTCTGCACTGGAGCCTGATCTTCTCCTTTGCTTTCCTGGGGGACACTTTCCATGTTGCGATTTTTTTTTCTTGCTTACTTTTCCTAGGGGATAAGAAGCAAGAAGGATGGAATGCGTTATAACAACAGAATTCAGAGCTGTCAGAAAAGGTTTTCCCATCTGAGAGATTTCGTGCGCCCTCTAGGGGACGCTCCAGACCCAGCCCTGCTACAAAGCTCACCATTTTCCCCATAAATTCTTCCTTAGGCCCGTGCTCACACATCCTGCACTTAACTAGGGCAGGAAAGGCAGTGAGTCCCCCAGGTTCTGTCCTGATCCCTGGTAATCCTACACCAAAGGGCCCCAGGCAGCCCCCTACCTGCAGGGATCAAAAGCCGTCTTCCTCTTTTAGCCTTGAAATCTGCTGCGCCAAGGAACCTGAAGACCTGCAGACAGAAATGCGACAATGGCCAGGACTGATTAGTTGATCAATATCAGAGGCACCAGCTTTGTTGTTGACTCAGGACTCCGCTAATCAAATGTTGCCACTTCCTCTTTCTCCTCCAGATCACGACTTCATTTTCTGCCCTGTGATGTGCTCCATAAATAGGCATTGTAACCAAAGATGATTATTCCAAACCAGTTTCCTCTCTTCTTTAGGCCCCTTCCCCCCCCCCCCCCCGTCTCATCCCTCCCGTCACCTAATTACCATATCTTGAATGCAAATGGCCAACTTGTTGGGCGGGGGAGTGAAAACCGCTTGCTGGATGGTGACGTTGTTTATTTATAAAGAATTTCAACGTGGCTGCGACGCAGCAGCCTTTCTAGAGTTCACCCTCCTTTCACTGCCCACCATTTTATGCATCAAAATGGACGAAGGGCAAAGAGGTAGTGTGGGAATTGCAAACCTGTGCCCGCTGAGATCTCAGGACTTTGTCTTGCTTACCCCAGGGACCACAAGCAGCGCCCAGGCTTACACCGACTTACAGGGGTCAGAAACAAGTTTCCTGCTCCCCAACTATATCCCTCAGTCGGAAAGCCCCCACTCGACTGCCTCCTGCGCCGAAGGGAAGTCTTCCCCTGACCTAATTCCTGTCCCTATCCTCTGCAGCAACGCCCATCCCCGCCCCTTTGCCCCCGTTTGCCGCAGCCCACCATTTCCCGCTCCAAAATGGACGCACGGTGGAGAACCGATACCAGAACAGAGGCCTAGAACCGTGACGGGGTCGACCATCCCCAGGGTCAACGGTTACGACCCCCTCCCATCGCCTTGCAATAATCAGGCTTTTTCCTCGCTCTCCCCTTCTCTGGCCCTTCCCTTCCAGACGCCGGATCGCCTACGAGATCACCACTCCTAGGACATCCCAACTGGTACCCATTCCTAACTGTTGGCCCCTCTGTCTCTTCCCACCAAGTCCTCCACTTCTTGCACCATATAAATGGGTATTGGGGACGGGGATAGGGAAAATCCAGCTGGAACCGCTCTGGTCTTAGCCTTCTGCCACCCCAGTCAGCGCCCACCAACCTGCTACGGATCAGGTTCAGCTTCTACAACTTCCTCCTTCCCTGGGCTACAGGCTCTCCCGCCTTCAAGGCAATAGTGAGCCAGCACACAGCCACAAACGACTACCAGACTGCAACTAGGAGGAGACACTAATCTACGCGTCAGCTGTAGGTCTCCTAAGGGCCACGTCACTGTGAACTCAGATAACCAATTATGGTTCATACCTGCATTGCGGCCAGAGAGTGGGGAGCGGGAGCGTGGGCGGGGCCACCTTTTTCTCCATCCCTGCCTTCTCCCCACAATAACACAGCCCCCCCCCCACCTTTTTCCTCCTGTTTAGTAGTCTTTAGGACCAAACAGGTCATAATATTTAGTACTTCGTATTTGCCTTTGCCCTGACTTCTGCTGGAGCCTTTAAATAATTACTTCTTTCTCTTCTATACCATTAAAAATGCCCTCTTCCCTCCACTCCCCTGCAAGAATACCCCAAAATTATCCCTAACATCGAAGCTAAGAAGTATGGAAAATACATAGGAAGTGACTTTTTTTTTTTTTTTACTTTATATATTTTTGAGAGGTTGAGGGAAGAAGGGCAGAGAGAGAGAGAGAGAGAGAGAGAGAGAGAGAGGGAGACAGAGAATCTCAAGCACTCTAATGCAGAGCCCAATGGGGGGCTCAAAAAGAATCAGGAGATCATGACCTGAGCCTAAATCAAGAGTGGGTCACTTAACTGACTACTGAGGCACCCCAGGAAGAGACATGTAAAAAAAACAAAAAACAAAAAACAAAAAAACTTTTATTTCCCTCTTTTTTTTTTTTTTTTATGGGGAAGGGTGGTTGTTTTTGTCTTGTTTCCCATTAGCATGCATTCAGTGTTTGGTTGTTATAATCAGACAATACAATTATTTTCAGCTGAAAAATAGGGTTTCAGTTGTAAAAACTTGGCAAGGCCTGCTTCTCCTGACAGCAATCCCCCCCCCCCCATTTAAGGACTTTGAATTATAAACCTAAGCTGATGGTTCCTCTTGTGAAGGGTCTCTTTGAGGTCTTTCCATGAGGTGAGACACTGAGTCTTGCTGGTAGATTTTCATATCCTTAGAACCTGTGACAAACTTATGGTCTCCTCTTAATTATATCAGTGCAACTTCACTTTACAAGACTCTAGCATGGCCTTCAAAATAGAACAACACTGAGGTCTTCCAACAATCCAGAACAATAATTTGAGAAAGTTATGCTGACAGCTGCAAAGTATTGTGAAGCTATAATATTAAAACATGTTATAACAGAATAAATATAGAACAAATGAAACAGTAGAGAAAGCCAATTATCAAGAAATATAGAGAAATTTTAGAGATCTGATTGAAATATTTTGAATTAGCAGTAAGAAGTTACATTACTGAAGGAATGGTGGTGGGATAATTGGTTATCTATTGGTTATCTATTGGTTAGCTATTTGGGAAAAAAATGAAGTGTCTTATTCCTGTTATATGCTTAAATACAGACATAAAATGTTTAGGTAAAAGGACATGAAACTATTGAAAATAGTATATACTAAATATTATTTTGTATATAGTCTTAGGATGAAAAAGTTCATTAAAACTATACTACCAGACATAGCCATGGCCAAAAGGCATTGGCACAATCCTGCTGGGACCCTCTCAGTCCAAAGTACCATGTAGAATGTGCCTCAGAATTATCCCAATTATTGATGGAAAACTGGGGTATTTATCCATAGATGTGGGTCATTTATTGGTAGATGTTACTCTGGAAATGTTAAAATCTCTGACCCTTCAAGATTGTCCTAAGCCTGGGTTGAGCAAGCTCCCAAGATGCCAGAAAACGTCCTCAGTAAAATTAGTAAAATTAAATACAGACAAAGAAATATACTATTCAGGGGTGCCTGGGTGGCTCAGTCGGTTGAGCGTCCAACTTCAGCTCAGGTCGTGATCTCACAGCTCGTGAGTTTGAGCCCCACGTCGGGCTCTGTGCTGACAGCTCAGAGCCTGGAGCCTGCTTCTGCTTCTGTGTCTCCCTCTCTCTCTCCCCCTAACCCACTCACATTCTGTCCCTGTCTCTCTCAAAAATAAATAAACATTAAAAAAAGAAATATACTATTCATATTTTATTCTAAATCAGTCCAAATATTTTCCTTTAAAATAAAGATAATACACATCCATTCCTATATTTATAGATATTTGTGCTGTTTGTAGTTTTAACCATAAGAAAGAATGTTGATTGAACTTCTTTGTACATAGTTTTTCTAATACTAATATGTATTAAATTAAATTCCTAGGATTGTCATTGCATATGACTATGGATGCTTTTAATTGTCATAGAAGTCAGCCTTGAAAATATTTTCTCAATTTGCCATGTACAGTGTATGAACATTCCTGTTTTCTCATGTGTATACCAACACTGAGTACTACCTGGTTTATTGTATTTTTAAAATTTTATTCAAGTTTGTTTTATTTTTTTCTTATTTCATTTATTTTATTTGACTTGTGGTGAGCTCAGGATAACATACAGAGAAGTTGAATCACTCTGTTGTACACCTGAAACTAAAGTAATATTGTGTATCAACTGTACTCATATAAAATTAAATTTGTTGGCAAGGTCATCAGGTAATGTTTCTAAGCCTGCCACATCATAACAAATAGCTCAGATTAAGATTCTTAGACTCTTCTCTGAAGATTCTAGTTTAATAAATTGAAGCCAGGCCTGGGAACCTGTGTTTAAGTTCCTTAAAAAAATTCTTAATATGAGGTAGGTTTAGGAATCATGTCACAGGCAAAAACACAAACTAAATAAAGAAAAACACCTTCCATTATTATATAAGTAGTATTTTTTTAAAGAACGTTGTTACAAAATAATTTCAAAGTTACAGAATGGTGTTGGAAGTAGCACAAAAAAACCCCACATATCCTTCACTGTATTCCCCACTGTTAACATTTTGCTACATTTGCTTTATTATTTTCTTTTCACCTAGAAGGACACATGATTTTTTTCTGAACCATTTGAGTTAGTTGAAGACTAAATGGTCATTTAAAATTATTTAGTTCAATTAATTTAATATAAAACTTTCTTAAATTATTTTATTTTTTTGCCTTTGGAGGTTTCTTTTATAAAATTTGAAATATATACATAAACGTGTAATATATAAAGATAAATATTTTAGTATATGGTCTTACTAAATGTTATTTACTCACTATTATATTCATATAATTTACTTATGCATCTATTTTAATGTAATAGCATATCATAAATTATTTTCAGGTTAGTAATAGTTTAAGCACTCTGTTTCTGATGTTTCAAGAGTGTTCAAATGATTATTTAACCAATCCCCAATTAATTAATATTGGTATAATTTCCATACATTTACAGTTACTGGTCTTGTTTCAGTAAATGTATATATGCAGATTGCCCTCAAAAAGATTGTCCACACCTTACCAACACATGTTGTAATCAATCACATTAATTTATGAAATACTGAATCATACAAAACAAGGTTGAGAGAATAAAGCATACATCCATGCTTTTATACTATATACAGTTTGAAAAAATATATAAAACACATACATACAAACACATACAGTCATTTTTATAATATTTTACATGTGTGTGTATATGCATATAAATACATATATATCCATACATAAACAAAGCATATAAATAAATATACATCCATACATAAACAAAAACACAACCTGCTTTTATTACAAATCATGTTTTTGAGATTCATCTATATTGGTTTATAGATAGATGTAAGTCTTTTTTACAGGAGTACAGTGTTCCATTGTATAATTGTATTGCTCGTTTTTTGTTTTCCTATTGACGCACAATTAGATTTTTCCTTTTTTTTCTGTTACAAGTATAGATTCAGGAAACATCCTTGTGCATGCCTCCTTTGTACTTCCTTCACTTGAATAGCAAAATTTCATATTTGTTCTGTTTGTTTATTATTTTTAGATTTTTTTTTTTTTGGTAAGTCTGATCTCCCAGGATTTTCCAAATCTTCCCTTTTTTGGGTGGCATTCTAGATATGCAAATTATACATAGGTACATTGGTTTGTCTTCTGGAGGTTTTAATTTAGTATGTTTGGAATGGAATGTGACAATTTGTAATTTAAGAAGGACCCCAGATAATTTTTAAGATCAGGCAAGTTTGGAACCCTTTAATGAGGTTTAAAAAATTATTTCTTTAGGGGCGCCTTGGTGGCTCAGTCAGTTATGCGTTCAACTTTGGCTCGGGTCATGATCTCACAGTAAGTGAGTTCAAGCCCCGGGTTCTGTGCTGACAGCTCAGAGCCTGGAACCTGCTTCAGATTCTGTGTCTCCCTCCGTCTGTGCCCCTCCCCCTCTGGCGCTCCGTCTCTCTCTGAAAAATAAATAAACATTAGGGGCCCTTGAGTGGCTCAGTCAGTTAAGTGTCCCACTTCAGCTCAGGTCAGGATCTCATGGTTCTTGGGTTCAATTGGTAGATCTCGTTAGTTCCATCCCCCCGTCAGGCTCTGTGCTGACAGCTCAGAGCCTGGAGCCTGCTTTGGATTTTGTGTCTCCCTCTCTGTCTGCCCCTCCCCCGCTCGTGCTCTGTCTCTCTCAAAAATACATAAACATTAAAAAAATAAAAAATAAAGAAATAAACATTAATTTTTTAAAAAATTTGCTGATTTATGTAATTTGCTGATTTATGTTCTTTAATTTTTGGTATAGTTCAGCATCTATTCTTAGATATCTTTATTGCCCTTAATGATTGTGTTTTACAAAATACAGTAATAAAGATATATATAATATAGAAAGTAAACGAGTTTGCTATATATGTTTCAGAAAGTTTATTTTGTATGTATTTCTGCATAGGAATACTTTCTTAGCTCAAGCAAGGAGGAAATACACTTAAAATTGTTCTTTAATATTTAGGATGTTACTTAGCTTCTCAACCGAGTAGCACTTAAGCACAAAATTTTAGGTTGAAGGGAAAAGTTTCAAAGTGAATACATTTTTTTCTAAGTTTTCCATAAAAGCAAACAATCTATTTTGGTAAGCCTTGAAATTGGTACAGACACACACACACACACACACACACACACACACACACACACACACATTCCTCATTGATCTGTAATTTCTACTTCTTCTATTTTTGTCTGTTCTTTTAAAAATATTTTTAAA